TCAGCGATGGCTCTAGTAGGACGACGGTCGAGGGTCGGTCTCCATCTTCGGTGGCTGGACATTTTTATCTGGTCAGGGCAGGTGCGACTAGGGTTAGGGTTCCCTTGCAACGTGATATTTATATATTTATCTTGCGTCGATCTGGACTGTCCATTCTTGTCAGTGTGAAGCGATGAAAATCGTTCGATCATTGTTTGTTTAGTCCAACTGAAGTGGCCGAATTTGAACCGTTCATCGCGATTGATCTCATCTGTCTAATCGCGCCTAAAAAGGGAATGCATATGAGTTGTTCACGTGCACGTGATTGAATCTGGATCACTGAATCAATGGGCATGTGGATCGCCCACGTGGCCTATCGCGTGGCACCGATGTCAGTGAGTTTTTGCTACACGGCGTACTCTGGTTTGTCGTAGCTGCTGATTGGGTCATCCCACATGGCCGAATTTTTTTTTTTTTTTTGTATTTTGACCCTTTTGTTTCCGTTTTTTTTTTTAAAAAAATATCCTATGAACTCAAATTTTCACCCATATTCCCAAAATTGCTTTAAATTTCGTCCATAACCTATTTTTTCTTAAATAATTTAATAAAATAAAATAAAATTAATATTATTAATTATTTTTATAAATACGAAAATTGATCCCAAGCTAAATTCCGGACTCGTGTATTATATTTTGAATTTATTTTCTCACATTAATCCCTATATCTATAGTTTATTAATTAATTACAATGAAAAAATATGTTTGATCATTATCATAATCTCATATTCACAATCAAAAATAATAATTATTTATGTGATGAAAATAAATAGAGATACTAGCAAGAAAATATACAAAAATGAAATTTAATTTATCCCAACAGTCTTATACTATAATGAAAACAATAATTTATCCTCTTAATATAATATAATGACTATACAAATAAATCTTTATGAAAAATAATAAACTAAACTAAGATTTTCAAAAGACTCAGATTAATTAAAATAGAATCCTCTCCCGAACAAATTTAGCTGGTGGTATGAAATATCCTCAACCCTCGAGGAACTCCCCTAATCACCTAGAAGCGATCAAGATAATGCCTAATAACTTCAGTCGCACTGTCACTAAATAATTTGCCATGATGGGAAAGATTGTAGCACCCGGAAAGGGGGGGGAAAAAAAAAAAAAAAAAAAAAAAAGGGGGGGGGCCACGTCAGCAGCCACGTCAGCAGGCCCGGTCAGCAGTCCCGGCCAACCAGGGCCTGCCACGTGGCAAGATCGCGTCACTCCGAAAGGAGCCACGTTGGCGATCCGCGTGGGTGCGATCCGACGGCCCAGATCAATCGCGCGATCGGACGGCCCAGATTCAAACGCACGGACGGCCCAGATTCAATCAAAAACGAACGGTCCAGATTAAAACGAAATGAACGGCTGTGATCAAAAGGCAAGGGGTTATAAATAGAACCCCCACACCAGACCACAAACCCTAGCCGTCAGCCGCTCGCCGGAGAAGACGAACCAGAGGCCGACCGCCGCCACCCGCCGCCACTCGCCGCCGCACCGGGGAAATTTCCGACCGCCGATCGAGGTAAATTTCATACCCCCGACTCGTTCTTCCCCACTGATTCCTCCTATGGCCAAATCGAAGCCGAAATCCTGGCCAAACGGCCGGAATACGCGGCCGAAGCCC